TTTGTTGGTCGGGGAAACAAATAAATACGCTAGACCATGGTTTATAGTTCCATGGCTAGACATAGACAGGAAGTTACCGGGCGCGTAGACCGGCATTGGTATGAAACGGACAGAGATGAAATGAGTGCCTATTTCGGTGTTATCATAAATTAGAAACCAAGTGAATTGGAAATAAAATGTGTGTTTTTTTTTTAAATGAAATGAAACTACAGTGTCCTAATCTTCTTTTCCCTGTGTACATGTCAACCTACCTGGCTCACACTGAATTGGTAAAAAGTTTTGGGTAATGGGAGTACAAATATGCAAATTAGTAATGGGCCCTGCAACATTGTTGCAACAAAGTATCTATGGTGTGCAAAGGGTTAAGGGGTTTGCTTGAGATCTGATCAGGACGAAGCTGGGTTCTTTGGTATGAATTTTGATGATTCAACTATAACAGACTTGATGCCCAATTTTCTGTAAAATTTCCTTAAATTGTAGTACAAGAACATGCTTTCAATTATTTTCTCAGGTTACTCAGATGGATTTTATTCAAATACGACAACAAAACATAATATATAAGTTGTAGATGGTTGAAGATTATATGAGTCGTCATTGTCATACAAATCATTAAACCCTAATATGTATGTGCAATTATTTTTCAGAGATGACAGAGTGGTCAGTTGTTGATAAATCTTGACCACACCCATAGCAATAATTCTCAACCTCCAATCATTGAAATTCGTTTACTTATCACTTCCTTGCTTCTATGATTTATTTTAGAAGGCAAGAAGCCAGAGCCTTCATTGTTATTAATATTGAAATGGGGCGGTGAGTTAACTCCTGCTGGCAGAGTTCAAGCTGAAGAATTAGGAAGAGCATTTAGATGTATATACCCTGGAGGCCAAGGTATGTATGGAAATGTCAGAATGATTAATTCTTTGTGATTCTGTATCTAGCATGTTATAGAATTGATCAGACATTTATACACATCATGTTGATCATTTAATGCTCTAAGGTCCATCTCATTATATCTATCTTTCTCATTTCTTTTAAAGGTGAATATGCTGGTTTTCCTGGTTGTGGTTTGCTACGTCTCCATAGTACTTACAGACATGATTTAAAAATTTATGCGTCAGATGAAGGCAGAGTACAAATGACGGCTGCTGCGTTTACCAAGGTATTTAACATTGATGTGGTCGTTACTTATGAACATTTTATAAATTAGTAATTATATTTGCACCATATTGGGTCTTGATGTAACTACTGAGGTATGTAAATGTGTCGAAATGGGCGTAGTGCTTAGTGCTAGTAGCACTAATCCGAAAAAGTACTAAGATCTAGTGCTAAAATGGCACTAGATCTAGCGCTAAAATGGCACTATATCTAGTGCTAAAACAACACTAGATCTAGTGGTAAAATGTACATAGTGCGAGTGGCATTGATATCGCGTTGTCAACGACGTTGAGACATCCCGTAATTGTACGAAAATAAATTAATATTTACGTAAAATTGTTGTATCTTTCATTCATTGAAAATGTGCTGCAGTGGGAAAATTGAGAATGTAGAGGAATGTCATTGTCCATGTTTGTAGTAATAGACCTTTGAAACAACACGATAGGCCAGGAAACTAGCTCCATGGACCGTGAAACTGTGGGTCAAACTTCGCAATTTTTACAAATTGTGAATAGATACACTGTATGAAGTTGTATTGTGTGGAAGTTTGTGTTTTCAGCTTCGGTGTATGTAAACTTGTAACTTGTATGTAAATGGTGGAATTCAGCGTTCATTTTTTGTTTAAATCACTAACATGCCGTTTTATTTCTACTCGGTGCCACACTCAATGAAAATAGATCTTCAATGAAATTATGATGCCATATATCAACTAAATAAAATGTTGTATACTCCTAGTCTAAGTCCAGGGTCCCTGTAAAGCTCGGTGGATTTTGTGTGTACGGCGACCTGTGAATGGGCATGTAGCTCAGTACCGCATGGAACCAGACAAAAAATGAACCATTGTCTGGTTGTCATGACATTGACCTTTGCGAGCATAATCAACCAATGGATTCACGCAATCCTGTTACATTGTACCATGGAGGTACTAACGAAAGGAGCCACAACGCCTCTCAAGTGGCCATTTAAGCCTCTTAAGTGGCTTATTTCCTTTTCTTTCAACCCAAGTTAATCCTGAGGACATTGTCTAGCTCATCTTTGATGTCGATGATAGTTTGAGATTGCTTACACAAGTAACCAGTTAGCGGAATATGATATAACCTCGCCGATTTTTTTAACCATATACCGGTAGTATATGTCTAGACACTTTCTCAGCAATAATATTTTCTAGGAGTCCTTGGGATTGTTTGTTGTAGACTCTTGAAATCTTGTTCTTGTTACAGTTGCTAATAATTAAAACATGTGATATCTGTGAAGTTACAAGTTCGTCTGTTGAATTTCCGGTTGTGAAATGCGTATTTTAACCCTTCACAGCTAAACAAACCCAGTGCGCATATGTGATGACCGTAGTTTCATAATGCGCATATATTTTATGGTCACGTTAAAAAAAGGGGCAATTTTTCAGCAGTTTTTAAATATTTTTTATTATTTTGGCGTAATTTTTCAGACATTTCAATCTTTCCTGACGTCTAAAATAGTCTATTTAAGTTTTTATTCAAGAGCGTGTTTATTGTTACTTGCGTGAATGGGTAAGCTTCGATTGGACAAAGAGCTGTTATCACTGTAAACAATGTTAAATTATTCTTCGAATGCTCAGTTCATCATTCGATAACAACTATTTTTTTATTTGAAAAAAAAATCCAAGCTAAAAGGATCGTACTACAACATCGGCAAATCTCTTCCGCGTTGTGTTCAACATATTTAAATGAGCTATGGTGATTTGAACACGTTGGCATCCTCCAGCATTTTGATTGGTTAATTAGCGATTTTACCTTTTAGCTCAACTCATGCAAAAGAAACATGGCGGATACCCATACAGCATCGAGCGTTTATATGCAATTATAAAAATATTTGATGATTATTTTTTGAAATTTTGAACCCCAAATAAATGCCCACCAGCCGTGAAATCCCCAGGGCGATTTTTCGGATGGGCGAATTTACGGCAGAATATAAAGAAAGTATTATTATGGACATCTCGCGCATATTGCCGATGTTTTATACTGTTTGTAGTTTGCATATGAAAGTGGATGCCCCTCCTATTATTCGACATCGTTGACAATGCGATAACAGTGCACATTTTAGCACTAGATCTAGTGCCATTTTAGTGCTAGATCTAGTGTCATTTTAGCACTATATCTAATACTTTTTCGGATTAGTGCTACTAGCACTAACCACTCGCACTACGCCCATTTCGACACATTTACATACATGGACTACTATAATGAAAAGATTAGCAATACTTGCTGTCTGCCAAATTGTTTATTATTAAGATTGGTAATAAATGCGTAATTATAATGTGGCAACAAAGTTATTTAAACATCTAATATGGAGCTGTGGGAATTCATTATTCTTGTTTTGAATCACTACCATCAGAATTAAACAAATTTAGTTAAATTTAGGGACATTTAGTTTTATATTATATTTATATTTAATATTTATTTCACCAAATAATACAAATGAATACAGACAATTCAAATGACAATTAAATAGTAAACAGAAAATGAAAAAAAGTAAAAGCGAAAACTTAAATTTTAATTTGGTGAGGATCACAGAAGTAGTTCTGTTGGACTAATTGAGTCTGACCCTGTAATGAATAAATTTGCTTGACCTGCATAACAGCTAACAACATCTGACGTATTTCATAGTTTAAACATGATTAGCCATTACCCTAACTAATGAGTAATTAATTAACATGCAAATGAAATAACTGAAGAAAACGAATAAATATTTCAAATTAAAAGTTATTTCATAAGAATATTAGATTATGAAACTGTGAAATCAGTATTAATTTTTTGTCCATTGATGTAGTGGATAAAAAACAAATGACGAAAAGAAGCACATGTCAAACAAATGGAAAGAGTTAAGAGTTAACAGGTTTCTTGAAGGAATAGGCGAATGTAATGATGTAAAACTATGACATCATTTCAATGTGACATGACATCGCATTTATTAATAATGTATAATTGGCAAGCTTGTCTGATGACTTCATTCAATTGTTTCAGGGCATGTTAGCTTTGGAAGGTGAATTGACACCAATATTGGTTCAAATGGTCAAGAGTGCACATACTAATGGGCTGTTAGATTTTGACAAAGACTCCTCATCGCAGCAATCCAAGTAAGTGTGTTCATAGTTGTACCACAGCTGTCTTGAATTGACGTGGCAAGTTACCATGATCAAAGTCATGACATAATTGAGTTTTGCATTCCTAAGTTGTTAGTCTGCTATGCAGTGTAACAGTGTCAATCTCACAAGCATAGGAGAGGGGAATTTTGTGCTACACACCATCAAGAATAGACATTTTTAGACAGAGATGTTAGTGTGCCATCATCAAATGTGTGGATTTTTTAGGTTTGCATTCAGACATTTAGGTTGCCTTGGAAAATATATTTTTTTGCTTATTAACACTGATGAATTGAGAATATGCATGTGTGTGGTAGTGCTATTCATACGTAATTTAAAAAACAGTTAAGGAAATCTATTTACAGCAAGCCCAAAATTAAACTGAACGTGAAAACTGCTATCCTTTGGAGCATTGCAAAATCCTTTTGAAGATTTTTGACAGGGTTTGTTTTGGCTTTGCATTTAACCATTGAAAACTTGCATATCGAAAATACTATTGTAACTATATTTGATGGGGGGGGCAAAATTAAAATTAAATTGTAGGATTGTGTTCGCATAATAATTAATTGCTTTCAAGTGTAGGAACGCTTCATTTTCGAAATATTTCATACAATTTCTTCACACGAAATCTGGTTTTGAAAATAGTTTTTACAGAGAAGCATTGCCAATAAACTCAAACGATCACAGACACGATCTTCATTCTGCAAGCAGCTAGTTTTGCCTTTACATGAAAACTGACAATTTTTAAAGTGTGGATTATCAATAATCAATAATTTCAATTTTATCCATTGTAGTATTTACCTTATATACCTACATGTATGTATTCAATGTATTTACCTAATATATTTAAATGCATTGCGGCTTTGAGAGCAAGCTCAGCTGACTTTAAGCCACCTTAAACATAGCTTAATTTGAGTTATGCTCACACAGTAAATATCAATGAAATAATCATTAGGTTTGATAAGCAATATTAACTAAATTTTGTCTAGTTGTTAAATTATTGTAACGGGAAAACCACACAATACCCTCACAAACCCTCACTGATAATAGATTCATAAGTTTGATTTGCACTTCAGAATTAAAGAAAGACTCTACGAGATGATGGGTAAAACCAGTAACTTCACTGATGAAGACATTAATAAGGTATGTCTGCTACAACATAACTTGTACAAAGAAACTATTTGTGTGTTGAGAATAGAATGGGAACTATTGTATTTGCTCTATTAGAGATGTATCTTGATTAAAAGTGCATATGAACCAGTAAATGCTTTTGTTGTGTACTGAATTACTATAATTTTACTCATTTTGACCATTATAACCACCAGTGTAAATACAGTGTGGTCCATTGCACTTAATGTTTTTTCCATTGAAAATTATCTTAGTTGCAACATATGCTCAAAATTTCAATAGACGATGTCATAGTGTGATTCTGCCTAGTTACAATCTACCATTGAGAAATTTCTTAGACAGCAAACTTGCATGGAGTTATACTACATGTATTTGTTTTTTGAGCATGGATACCTGACAGTGACATATCACCAGTTGTTAGAACAAAACAGATCAATATACAGAGTAGCAATTGCCCCCCCAAAAAACCTATAACAACATGCTCCATGCATTAATAGGATTTACCCATTCAAATGTCTTTTTTTTTCAGCTTGCACCAACAAATGCCAAGTCACTAATAGATTCCTTGAAATTGGTTGGTAACCCATCAAATAAATGCGAAGAAGTGTATAAAGGCATTAAAAGTCTGATTAACCAAATCCAAGATAGGAAACAAGATCCGAAGTATAAAGGTAAAATACTCAGCAATTATAAATTGCACCTTGGACTCTCTGTAAATTGTAGACTGGCCAAGTAGTGGCAATCTATTTGTTTTATATGATAATTCCTTGAAGAACCAGTTTGTAGTTCTCGTCACGTTTTTGAGGTGATAAACATGCTAATGAGTATCATTGATTGTAAGCTGCCAACCAATAAAAAAAAAATTGTTATGGATCTGACCTGTTCTACTATATAATAACGTGTACGGTACATTTTTCTGACGCATGAATCCACGCGTACACTTTCCTTGTTTGGAAGTAGATTGTTAAATGACCGCTTACTAAAAATATGTTTAACATGTAGTTAACATATAAATTATAATCTCCTTAAATGGATGGATAATGGAGAAATTAACTGCAAAATATGAATTTATATAAGTGAGTCTTCTAATTTCAGCTTGATTTGTAAACAATAGACACTCACTAAAGTTAGGACACTTTGTTTATTTGTCCTTTAAAGCTACATTGGAGCCTTGTGAAGTTGTCTAAAGGATAAGAACCCCTAGTACATTCAAAATGAAATGTGTGGGAAAAGTGAGGCAAAGCTAATTTTAATATATCATATTTTTAAACACATTTCATGTTTTCAGCTTGTACTTGTTTAACATATTTCCAAAGTGGGAATGCAACTTTGAGTTGCATTATCATAGCATTTGTAAACTTTCAAAATGTCATAATATTTTACTTTTATCCCGCTGACAGATACCATTTTGTACCATAATGAGAGTCTAGAACTGATGTTGAAAAGGTGGATGAAATTAGAAAGAGATTTTAAAAGCAAGAATGGTGAGTTTGACATCACGAAGATTCCTGACATTTACGACTGTATCAAGTATGACTGCCTTCATAATAACACTCTAAATCTCAAGAATACGGAAGAGTTATTTGTGTCAGCGCAAGCTCTGGCTGATGTCATTATACCACAGGTAAGTAAAATATTATAATAATAAAAATAATAAAAATTTGTTTACATATAAAAAAAGCTTGTATGATAGTACAAATATACAATTGTGAAAATACATCATACCACAAGTTCTATAGTTGGCTACCAGAGAAGACGAATATTGTCAATAATAAAATTTAAATAAGTGGGCTGGTAGACTGGTATAAACAAGAAGTAAAACACAATGATCTTCTCCTGTTAATTTTGTCAAACATTAATGAACATCAAACTGTTGCTTTCAACCACAGAATGCTTTTATCAATTTTTTTTTTTAATTTTTTTTTTTTCAGGAATATGGTATTACTGCCAAAGAGAAATTAGAACTTGGTGCTGGAATCTGTCTGCCTTTGCTTCGTAAAATAAGAACTGATCTGGAGAAAAATTTGGAAGATGAGACTGTACATAGATTAAATCCTAAATACTCACATGGAGTGTTGTCACCTGGCAGGCATGTCAGAACCAGACTGTATTTCACAAGTGAAAGCCATATTCATTCTTTGCTGAATTGTTTAAGTCTAGGAGGACTTTGTGATGTAAGTATTTGCCTAATTTGATGACAGTAATTTATTTATTCATCTTGGGGTGATTGTACACATCGGTTGATGCAATCCTGTACTGCCTGAGTGCATACTTTTTGGTATTCTCTGATAGCCTTATTATTAATATACAGTCTTTTCCTGATTGTCTATTTTGTCACATGCCATGTACATTGCTGCTGTGTACGATGTAAACCACCGGGGGTAATAAAAGTATTTGAATGTGACGTAAATATGATGCAAAATATTCAAATGAGGGTGGAGTCTGTAACATGTACAAATGCATGTGTAACACTTTCAAATATGTCCATACAGGGTTTGATGGATGCCCGGGATATTTTGTTTTTTTTTGCCAGACGTATAATATAAGAAGCATGTCAGAATGGAAATACAGTGTTTGTAGATTGTAAACTATTTCACCAAATCAATGACCCACTGATCCTATTTGGAAATCAGCAGGGCTCAACTTCGCTGTTTTTAGGGCACCTAATTTTTAGACTAAAATTTCGAAAAATGCCTTGGACTGAGTGAAAGTACTGAAACACATCAAAGCATTCAGATTGGGCATCTAGGCAATTGTCTCCATGGCCTCTGTGCATTTGAGTCTTCGAAATATTCTCTATATATGCTCTTAATAACTTCTTTTTTTGTACTGTCAGGAAAATGATGACCAATGGAACAGAGCAATGCAGTACCTTGCTGCAGTCAAAGAATTGAATTACATGACGCAAATAGTTATCATGTTGTATGAAGATCCCAATAAGGACCCTGCATCAGATGAACGATTTCATGTAGAATTACATTTCAGTCCTGGCGCTAAGGGTTTTGAGGATGATGACACTACTTATCCGACTGGATCTGGATTCAGACCAGCTGGCAGTAGTAAACTGAAGGTAGAAAAAAATATTTATGAATTATACATTTACTTGTGAAACTTGAGAGAAAAATGCATTTTTATTTTTGGAACTATTTGCACAGGAGTTACATGTATATACATTAAAATCACTTGTCATAAAAAAAATTCCAATAATTTATATAAACCAGCACCAGAAACTCATTGCCATTTTGTGAGCAAAAAAACTAAAGATATGATGAAATTTTCACTGTTTTTGTGGATGTTTGACTTATTTTGTTTTTGTTCAAAAAAGTATTTTTTTTCTTTCTTTTTTTAGGATTATATTTTTCATATGGGTATTGTGAAAAATAGCATGAATTAAAACTATATTGTAATCTGATATTTTAAAAGTCCTATGTAATATAAACAATTTACATTTTATAGCCATGTATATATATGTTGCTATTCACAGTATGGGACCCGTCAAACATGTGGTCACAACGACCATCTCCTTTTGATGGCAGCCAGCTATTCATGCATATTAATAAGCTATACCTTCAACAGATTCCAAGTGACCTGGATACAGATAGTTCATCAGATTCTTTTCAATTGTCGGAGACTGAGGATGGTCTCGTTGCCTTGCCTTCATTAAGCGATCTAGCCAGACTAAGAATATCAGCAATATCTGGTAAGAACTCTCCAGTACGTCGTTTAAAACATGGCTTCTGTTCGGCACCGGCTACTGGGAGATCTGGTATGTTATTACATCACTGTGTGTAGTCTAATATATGCAAATCTATTAAGAGTCACCTTTTTTGATTGGCTACAGTGACTGATTTGCATATTGATTCTTTATATGTTTCTATTGCTCAGCTTCCATCCCCAATAGCCAATCAGAATACTTAAATCTCTATAAGGCTCAGACAAAAACATGTTTCTTGGTCATCAGGCTTTTTATTTTAGAAAAACAAAAGAGAAAGACAATTACTAAAACTCAAAATAAAAGCTTACAGATTTTGTATTAATTTTAGAAAACATCGTCCAAATACATTTTTGGGAATAAATTGACCGGAAACCTTTTTCTGGGCCTGATAGACATGCATCTTTAGACTCTTCAGTGATGTTCCACAAAGTTAGTTAGGTGTGTTCAAGAAAAATCAAATTTGATTTAAATTTGTTCAATACTAAACACTTTGTATTGTATACAAGTTGTGTTTTTAATTTTGTGTTTACTAATTTTGGAATATCTATTTGCATGACATTCATAGAAAGTTTAGTTTGTTTTAATACAATGATATCATTTCAGTTGAATTTGAATGTTGTTTCTCATTTCCTGGTTGCTGAGTGGCCTTCTTCTCCACTTTTACTATTTTACATTCAAAATGGCCGACCTCTCTAAAACTAAACTTGCTTTCTAACTTGTCCTTTTAGGTAATAAGGTATACTGTATTTGCTGTAGCTACAAAATAAGGATGTATTGAAAATGATGTCAGTCAGTTTAATTCAAAATTGGTACATACATGGACCTTGAAGCTAGTTATTTGTTATTCAGGTCAGATTCAAAATGGCCTACTGGCAGCCATTCAAACTTTACCCCTACATTTTACACAAAGCATGCATTTGTTACAACTTCTGATTCAAAATAGTTGACTCACTTTTAGTTTTATTTACTATTGAACAACTGGGAGTTTTTTCTGTATTGATTCATACTGGTTGGTTTCTCTGGAATCAAATCCTATTATTTGAATATGTTCACAACCATTTTTCAAAGATAATTGATCCTTCTAATTAATTTCTATTTGTTTCGATTTTTTCTGTGTCCATATCAATGTTCAAAGTTATTAATATACAACTCTGCATTTGTTCATAGCATCTTTAATTCCGCTTCTTGTCGTAAAACAAATGCAGCATTTACTTTTTAATTGCTATTTGGAATTATTATTATCTGTCAGTCTCTTTTATATCTTGGTGGATTATCTGCAAATCATGATTTATTTTTATGGGAAGAGAAACAACATGTCAAACTAACTTGATGTCTTAATTTGTTGATTTTATAATACCAGATCTTTCTACTGATTTATTGCATGTGGTGTTTTAACAACACTAATTAGTGTGTCATTAATGTAATAATGATGATATATCTTTGTATTGTGTGTCAGAATTAATTAACTATATATTTTTTGTTATTATCCACATTATATATGCAAAATTATTTTCCAATTTTGCATTCAAAAGTGGAAACTGTCCCTAGCTGTTGGCATTGTATTGGTCAGACATGAAAAAGAAATATTGACTACCGTTATTAATTATGCTCCCTGCTATATCGATAATTAAACACGTCTGGACCAATTTAGTTCAAAATTGGTGCATTACATTATGTTTTTAATCAATGTTACTGTGTGAAACCTTTACATTAAACTATTTTTTTCACAATGATTCATATAATTTCAGTTGTCAAAGCTCTGAAATTAATGACATTGACTATGCCATTTATAATGACTTTTTTATTTAATCAATTCTACCCTATGTTCTACTATGTTCTATGTAGAGAACTTAATTTCCCTATTTCTGTTAATTAAGTTTAGGGGCACCCCTTACAAGGTCAGTGGATGGTAAGTTAGGAATATGTCATTTGTACATATTTAGATCACATTATGTAATAATACCCTAGGGTGGGCCCTACTGGTATGTGTTGGATCAACCTGTCAACTTCGACATGATTTGTTGCAATCTGTAGTTGCACTTCATAGGACAAATCTGATGCTTATGTTGCTATGCCAGTCACACTTTAATAAGCAAAAACAATATTTTAAGTTTGTAATTTTATGTGGTGTCAAATACCCACTAATTCACGATAGTATAATTCCATTCATTGAAAATAAAGACTAAGATGTCTGTTTAGTGAGGACAAAAAGCATGATTTTCATTTACCTCCAATAGAGCAACGCCATTTTACTGATCTAGACCTGTTCCATAGATACATGTAATATAGAGGCAGATCTGCTCACCATCCGTCACACCAAAGGTTGGGCCAACCACGAGTGCTAACACATTCTTTCCGTGACTGCAGCTCAGCACATGCACTTATTGGTTCTGTGATTTAGTTCTTACTGCACTTGTGAAATGAAGCCATCCATTCATCACTTACCTTGTCAGGGGCATCTCTGAAACTTTTTAATCACTGAAAGTAGAAAACTGGGCAAGTGCAAACCCACATGCTTATTAAGTTATATATAAGTAAG